TTTAGTTCCTCGCTCGAGTTAACTCGGGCAGGTTACATACCGTTACATAAAACACGGTCCTTAAGGTCAAAAATTTTTTTTTGAATTTTTGGAATGTTTTTTAAGTCTCCAAATTTTTAAAAAATATTTAAAAATATACGGCCAGCTAGTGTTCACCCTACTTTAAACCCTTTTCCTCCCGCGACGTCTATGAGAATGCCCTGGGAAATCCAATTCCAGCTGTGTTCAAGGTCATCCAGATGTGTAAACAATGACTCATCAGTGTTAAATTTCACAGAAGGGCAAGACAAAGGAAGTTAAACTTTAAAGCCTTTTCTTCAAAATTAGCGCATTTCTTTCGATTTTTTTCAGTTTTAAGTATTTTTTATGTTTAATTACATTTACATCAAAAATTGCTAGGAACTAAAGCGATTAAGGTAGATCTAGCTGTCCTTTACATCCATAAACGTTATATGTCAGTGGAACAAATGGAGTGAGCTTTGAGTGTTTTACGATTTTTGGAGACTGTCTATAAGCGGGCATCCTAAACAAGCCTATGTGTATGTTTGTCCAAGAAATTTTTGGATGAAATACAAACCGCACAACTTCAAAATCGCATAAAAAGAGACTTTACAGTACTTTACAATGTTTATTTAAATTTAAAGTTTAAAAGAGATTTTAAAAATGAATGTATATTATCAATTTCTCTAAATATTAATCGCATCGGTAACCTTTGTTTTATTCCAGTATTTCTTAAAAACAACAAATGTTTCTGAACAGCTTGACTGTCCTGTTCAGATCCATTGTATGTGTTCCATTTAGAATGCTCATCCTATCATTTAAGAACACAATAGAACAAGCATTTTAGGCAATATTGTACATAGAAAACAGAATATTAAATTCAAGAAAAAGAACATTTTCAAATNGCCGTTTTTCCGGTTAAGCCTTAATCCCCTCCATCTCCCCCCGCAGGGGAATTTCGAAAAATCCGTTCTTAGTGTGCATTCCCATGGTATACCCTACTAAAATGCAGATAAAAACAAAAAATCGCATCTAAAATAGTACAGTAGAAGCCGTTTTTCTGGTTAAGACTTAATCCTCTCCCCCCGTGGGGGAATTTCGAAAAATCCCTTCTTAGTGAGCGTTTTCATGACGTACCCTGTGTACCAAATTTCACCTCTTTAGGTTCAGTGGTTTGCTCTGGGCGATGATGAATCAGTGAATGAGTCAGTCAGTCAGGACAAGCAATTTTATATATACAGATAAGTATATGCTTTGTGTATATATGCTAAACATATACACTTATTCAACCTGTAATATAAACATGAGGCCTTATGAGATCTCTTTAAAATGGGAATTGATCTCTACCTCCAGCTTAGTTAACATTAAATGATTACTATTTTATTACATTAATTTAAAAGTTGAATTATCATTAAAAAGTACTGTACAATATATATAATGCTATAATTGTAATCTTAAGTATGTATATTCAAATGATTTTGAATGTAACAATTTTCATTCAGAAAATTTTAAAACTAAAAACATTCATTACACAAATTTCATTTTCAATAAAGAGAATACTTATATTAAATCACTATAACTATACAAAACCTAAATTAACTTACGTTTTGTTCCAACAGATGACTGATATAAAATTCTTGATTCAGTATTATTTTGTTTTATTAAAGCAGGAGACTCTGATGAATGAGATCTATGTAAAATAATTAGTAAAACAGATTTAATGAAACGGAAATTGAAATTTATAACTATAGTTTAAATTCAGAAAATTTTACTTTTTTAAACATAAAATAAAAAATTACAAGTAAAAATAAAATTTGGTTAATGAATAAAAATCTGAATAGAGTAAATTTTTTTCTAATCTATTATATTATATTTTGTCTTGAATCTATATAATCATACAAAAGCTTCATTCATAATTTATATGTATACAATCTTTGTAAAATAAATTTTGAATAACAAATAAAATTTATTTTTTAGAATTATACAAGAGAATTATGGATTTTCAAAACTTAAATTTATAAAAATAAAGTAAATTATTGTTGCTGAATTAATGATAAAAAAATTTGCAACATTCATAAAATTTGAATTTATTCATTCCCATTGCACATTTAAAATGTTCAATTCCTGTACCATCTGACTTTCAAAGATAAACATTTATTTGTGACTTACATATTCATGTTATGGAAAAAACTCAATAATGTCTGAAAGTTTGATTTCTTAGAATTCCATTGATGTTGAAATTATGCTGAATTATTTATTTTTATATTTGTGTAAGATTATTAATAAATGCAACTATTTGGATTCTTTTATGACAAAAACTTTTCTACCCTTTTTAATTCTTTAAAATGAAATTGGCCAAAATCAGCTTAATTTGTTCAAAACAAAATCAGCTGAATGGAAAGTTGTTTGACTGTTTTTTTTCTATATAAGTTTCCTTTGTAGCCTGAGGAAAAATAAAACAATTAATTTTGTCTCCAACTAAAGAGAAAAAGTTCTCAGAGTTTAGAGTTAAGAGAGAACTAGGAAAAGTAAATTCATAATAAAGAAAAAATAAATAAAATAAATCTAGAATATGCTCAATGGTTATGTGACACACAAACAATAGGGAACCAATCAAAATCACAAAGAAAAGATATATGAATATATTTAATCATAATCAAATATCAATGGAATCCATAAGTATTTACAGGTAAGTAAATGAAGCTTTAACACAACAGAACAAAAAAATGGTAAGAAATACAAAATATTTAATTTATGTTTATGCATAACATGTTGTAACATTCATTACATGTTATGTATTAGGTATAACTAGTATTTTAAACATTTAAATTAATAAAATTATCATATTACTGTTTCAATGTATTCCTCTATTCCAGGGGTCACCAAAACTTTTTTCACAGCAGGCCAGACAACTGAATGACGAGTGCAGGCTACATAACCATTTTGTTCAAAACAGTACACTGAATACACAAAAAATAAAGACAATCAACATATTTATTTACCAATATACAAACACGATTGCTGCAACAAGCTTGTAATCATTTTTCTTAGAAAACTTCATTGCAGGTACTTTCACAAAAAGCACTCTGATATCCAAAATTGCAAAAAGTCATCAAATTTTTTATTTCACTGATGAGTAGTTTCTAAAAATTATATTATTGTCAGATGCAAAAATCAGATTGGACCAATTTTGGCATTTTTACTTACTGTGTAAAAAAATTAAAATAAGTGTATGTTTATGTACAGTACAATCTATGATATTTCCATATAAATAATTATTTTATCTCATTTGTGGCATAGTGCGGCAGTGGTGGACCAGATGAACTGACCTCGTGGACCATAGTTTGGTGACCCCTGCTCTATTCCATTCAAATAACTTTTGCTAAACAAAACTGTGATTATAATTAAAAAAAATTAATTGCCAATAATCAACTGTACTTATGTAGTAAGTACAGTACATCTAATATTTTGCAGATTTGAATTAAAACATGAAATTACTCTCTCAGTGAATTTACAAATAAATACATTAAAAAAGTGACAATATTATTCTCTTTGTTATTTTAAGTGTCAAGTTAAAAATGTGAAAATTTAGTATTTCTAAGTGAAAAACAGATTTTAAATTATTCATAAGATATCTCCTTCTAGAATCTTCTAAATTAATTATTAAAATACAAATTTAATTATAATTATTAAATTTAATAAGAGATGGCACCTAACACCTACCTCTAATACCAAATTATTTATAATTTAATTTAAAATAATAGCGGTAAAGTAGCCTGCTTTAATCCAGCAATCATTTAGCATATTACTAAAATATGGGCTTCAGAATGTTTATATGTAAAAGAGATGGTAATCAGGTTCATAAAACACTTCAGTTTTGATAAGATTGCCATTAAATTATATGTATAGATCCAAAATGTATACCTATGAATCACTCATTTGTTGCAGTTCAAGTTTTAGGCTGTAGTGGTTGTAATTTATGCACAACAGAAATCCATCAGTATCAGGTTTCAATATCCAAATAATACAAATGTCATTAATGTATTTTCTATAAATTAATATGTAAGGGAGGAAGAAAGGACCAACTTTATTCTCCAGCAGACCTACAACTAATTTACAGACGTCCCTATGGAAAGCATCCTCTGACAGGAGGCTTCCTATAGGAACATCTCTTTTTTTGTAGGAAGAAGCTGTGGTCAAACTGAAAGTAAGATGAATAAAAGGTGTGATAATTCCAAAATATGCTAGTGTAGTGTCAGATTAGTGACCTTCTTCATTAGCTAGTCACACAAAATGCAGAAACAAGACTGTAACATGATTGATAGATATATTGATTTAAAGTCCAAAATCATAATTTAAGCTCTGTTCATATTGGGGTGGTGGATCATAACAAGTCAACAAATTGTTTGGAGTTAGTTATCATGAGATGGTAGTTATCCAAATTATAAGGAAGAATATTGTGCATGGCTTTTTCTAGATTTTGGGTATAGGATCTAACCTTGTCAAGTATTGGCCTCAGTTCCCACTACTTTTATGCATCTTAGCAAACACAAACAATTTAGGAATGTTGGGTGAGGCAATAACATCATCATCCAGGTGCAAAATTTTGGTTAGTTTTGATTGTGTAAACATTGAGACAAGCACCTGTAACTTGTCAACATAACTTTCATCAATTCTTACACTCAGTATCATTGATGTAACTGCAGTGTCACATTGTAAATGAACCTTTTCATCAGCACACAAGTTCAACTCTTGTCAGCCTTTTTTAATGAAATTACATTTATTTATATAGTACAATAAATTTAATTTTGAATAAAAAATTTTTTAAATGTTACGGCATATTTTCAAGAAAACAGTTTGTTTTTACTCATGGGTTTGTTGATTTAATGTTCTAACAAGTAGCTCTGAAATTCTAAGCATTTACAAAGTTGTTATATTAACAGCAAAATAGCATTATGATTACGAGAAAATGACCATGGCCTTCTCTACTGATCACTACATCACAATGAGTTGCTAAATCAAGGATTGCTATAAAGTGAGTATACTTATATATACTTTATAAACATAATTTCATAACTATTTGAATTATGATTGAAAATAAATCTTTCAACTTTGTTGTTAGGCAATCCACTGATGTAACTTTACTTGGGACAATAAAACACTCCTCATAATTTTAAGCAAAAAATCAATTAGGAAATTATAACTAATAATAAACTTTAAAAAAATTAAAAGCTATTGGCTATTTTTCTCAGTAAGACATCACACAAGGAGCATTTGTTGATATAGATTTTATTGGAAGAAATGCGTTTCGGATTTTAATGACACCTCTTCATAAAGAAAATATCAGGTAATTGACAGTCAATTACCTAATATTTTCTTTGATGTTAATGTCAATTTGTAACCAACAACCAACCATGTAAGTTATAAAACATTTTTTTATATATTATATTTATTATTATGTAACATGTAATCATTTTCTATCTTCCTTTGTAAAGTCTAAGAACTGAAGAGGGATTACTAAGACCCAAAATGCATTTCCTCCAATAAAATCTATATCAGCAAATGGTCGTTGTTTGATGTGTTACTGAAAAAAAAAAGCCAATAGCTTTTAATCCTTTAAAACCCACAACAAAACCAGTAACAGAAAATCTAATTAAATAATAAACTTATTTTATTACATTCTTTACAACATATTTCAAGTATTTTCAAGTTTATAGAATCTTCCTCATAGTCTCTTTTCAATATAAGAAAATTTAAAACTTTTGCAAAATATTCACAGAAATTATCTTCAAAGACTATGTTAACAAAAAATGTCAAATATAAATTTTTTGAATTTGTGAAAATTTAATGTCTTTTGTAAAATAATTCTAAATAAAAATCCTTCCATATTAAATAAAGTGTATCTATTACAAACTAAACTAAAGCAGTAATAAACTAAATTACAATTTTGCAATTGATTTCAGAAGTTTCAGAAATCTTCCAAAACTTTGTTTCAGATTTCTGAAACAGTTTCACATAAATCAAAAATCTATTAATTAATAAATTATTTTCATTTAAAAAATGTAGCAGAAATTAATTTATGATTAATTTAGACATCAAAATTCTGTAAAAAATGCAATTAAATAAATTTTTTAATGTTTAGAATTTATAAGTCTATTGAATTCTTTGATTTATCTCCAAATTATAATTATAGATAATGATAATAATAATACCCAAGAAGTTTTAAAAATTACTATATACAAAATGTTAAGGGAAAAAATTATAGGAATACTGATTTCATAAGAATTTAAAATTAAAACTTTCCACAAATCTAAAAAATTACCTATTTTGATTATTTTCGTTAATCCTTACACCTGCATTATTGGGAGAAATGTTACTGTATGAAGTAGGTGAAAACTGAATGTTATCTTGACAAGGAAGAGAAACTTGTATAAAACCTCCTAAAGACAGAAAAACAGTTTTTCTTTTAATATAAAATGAATATTTCTTATATGGAAAAACTTAAGTGTAATGTCTTTAATTCTAAAGACATTATACTTGTGTATGTGATAAAATACTTAACTGCAGAGGTGTAGAATATTTTCAGAACCCAAAATTGCTCCAAAAAATTATTATAAACAAAATAAAAACAATTTATGAACCAATTAATAGTTTGAAAAAATCAAATTAAATCATGCAAATAATTAAATAGGCCTACTATATAATTTGCTGTGCAATACTAAACTGATAATGTAAACAAGTAACATTTCAGTAACCAAGAAGCCAGAAAAAAAAACACTCACTTCAAAAAGCAAATGTTTTCATCCATTTTTAAAAGGCTATCTTCAGGCTGGTGTTTTAAATTGAAATCACACAATTTTAGAATGGATCTTATCTCTACATTGCCATTGCTTTTTTCTTGTGACTGTCTTGTAAATTTCCATTAACTCCAGATATAAAGTGGCCACAAGAAAAGAAAAGCCATCAACTATAAANGTCAAAATTTAAAAGGAATTGGTAGGACAAACGAACATTACATTTTTATTTATATAAATAGATAGAAGATGATCTACTTTAGTTCATTTTCACAGAAAAGCAAACTTAGGGCATCATACTCGTAGCGCCATCTGTTGGACATAAAAGCCTTAACCATAGATGATATCATTTAATTTATATGAATGTTTAATGGAATAATATACAGCCTATGTCTACCCTGAAGTTCCATTCTAAATATTGGTGAAAGAATTTTTGAAATCGGATGAGTAGTTTCGGAGATTACCTGCTGCATACAAACTTACATACAAACATTACCTCTTTATAATATTAGTATAGATTACAAAAATAACCATGATACCATAAAATAATTTATTTATTTAATCTCTTATTAAATTTAATAAGAGAATAAATTTTAAGATTATTAAATTTAATAAGAGATGGTGCATAATACCTATCTCTAGTACCAAATTATTTAACTCAGTCATTGAACTCACTCATGTTACTATGATTCACATAATCAGTAGTCTCAAGTTAAACCCATCAAGCAAACTCGAAAGGCGAGCAAAAGTAGGTCATATTCACTTGTTTATGTGTGTCGTTAAGCATGATGGGATTATTTACAATGCATCTGGGTTTGCGACTATAATGATTTGACCAATCAACTTAACTGTAACAAGTTGTAAACAAATCAACATGAATTAGTTTACACATGTTATAGTTAAAAGTTTTGTCTTATAGCAATATAGTACACAGAAACAAAATGGAAACCTCCACTGTTTTATTTTTAAAAATTAAGCAAAAAGAACAAAAAGAAATATCAGTAACGTATATAGAAAATAATAAGAAAATGTACAGTGGAAAATTCAACATTGAATTTACAAGAAAAAGACAATTCGATTTGTGGAGAGAATTAGTTGAAAAATTAATTGTGTATTGGAGCTAAAAAGTCCAATGTGTAATGGAAAAAGTATTTTAATTTAATCCTTTCTTCATATAGTTTTCTTCGTTGATCTATTTCTTAAATTGTTGTTTATTAAGATTTGTTTATTTTATTAATCAGAACTTAACACTTCTGGTTAATAAATATTCTTAATATAGTGTCTATGCTCTTAATAATTTATACATATAATTTACTGTTATTTTAATTCTCTTTTTCAATGAATTAGATACTTCTTTTTATTTTCGGAAAAATTTGCTGTATAATTTTATCAATTATGAATTAAAATTCTTTTTATTAGTGTTGACTTGACATGAAAAGAAATGGCATCTATTCGCGGTCAAAAAATTTGTTGCCTTCTTAAACAACCCTTTCGGCTTTTTTTAAGCAATGGCCAGCTGTGTATCATGGTAGGTGATTATAGGATGTGGGTACTGAAAGTGTCTCTAGTCAGTGCCATAAGTAACCAAAGATGATCATATCTAAATTAAATATATCTGGAAGGCAACATCAGATGGAGGTCTGTGTAGCATAACTGGCAACACATTCATTCTGTAATGGAAATTGTGGGTTCAAATCCCACTCCAGATCAATCTTCTAGAATACTCTAAATTAATGAATTCAATTCTAATTATTAAATTTAATAAGAGAATAAATTTTAAGATTATTAAATTTAATAAGAGAATAAATTTTAAGATTATTAAATTTAATAAGAGATGGTGCATAATACCTATCTCTAGTACCAAATTATTTAACTCNCAGATTTTAAATTATTCATAAGATATCTCCTTCTAGAATCTTCTAAATTAATTATTAAAATACAAATTTAATTATAATTATTAAATTTAGCAAGAGATGGTGCCTAATGCCTACCTCTAGTGCCAAATTATTTGATATTTAATAATTATTAGAAGTAGTAGCATAGTCCAATTTAATCCAATAATCATTTGGCTTTAATCTATACTAATATTATAAAGAGGTAAAGTTTGTAAGTTTGGATGTAGGAGGTAATCTCTGAAACTACTCATTCAATTTCAAAAATTCTTTCATCAATATTTACAATGGACCTTCAGGGGTTCATAGGCTGTATATTATTCCGTTAAACATTCATATAAATTAAAAAATATCATCTAGGGTAAGCATTATATTTTTGGTGTCAGCAAGTGGCGAGGGGCAAGATGTGCATGTATACAAGATAGGTAACTGTGTGGCGCAGTCGCATGGTCAGCGAGATACGCAGTGCATGTGTTCGAACTTGTATAACTATAAAGGTTATCTTATGTAAGAGTTTATCACATCAAATGACCAATCTAACACGTTTTAAAAATTCTTTATTCCTGTACTGTACACAATTTAAATAATTTTTAAATGTGTTAGATTGGAAACATGGTATGATAAAATCTTACATAACATAGCCTTAATAAATATAAATCAAATACTATAATATAATATCGTAGAAATGTTAGAAGTATGAAATAATCTAATAATCTTAATATTTGCTGTTGTTATTTTTTACCAGAGCAACGCTGGGCTCATCTGCTAGCAGCCTAATAAAATCCGTCAAATTTTTTGACTTTAATATATCTAACTATAGGGTCTTAGATGTTGATATTTGTATATTTAAAAGATAGCATATTACATTTAGTTGACATGGAAGAATATTTTATTTTTGAAAAATTCAAGCATTAAATTATTTATATTACTGTATTTATTAATTTATATTTGAATAACTATTTACTTACCTGTCATTGATAGGTAATACAAGATGCTGAGGAGGAGTAACAGATGCAGATGGACTAGCCAAATAAAGTTGAGTAGCAGTTGTTGTAGTTGTCACTGGAGACAGAGTAATGACTTGAGGTGATATTAAAGTACTCTGGTTACCAGAAATATTCATGTTTGCTGATGATGAAAATCCTGTTGTGACACCACTAAATATAAATAAAAAATCTTATAAATGTATGTATACAAAATAATAATTATGTAAAAGAACACAGTGAAAATAATTAAAATAAAAATATTAGAAGGATGTACAACTCAAAAAAAATCACAAAATCTAAATTTGTAAATATAACTATAAGTAGACACTGATTACTGTAATCACTTCTGGACTTGTCTGAACTGATAACATTAAGTAGAAATTGTAAATAAAAGTACAATTAGAGAAAATTGTGATTTCTTTGAGTAACACTAAAAGAACATATTTAAACAATTTTTAAATACATAACTTGAATATTTGATAATTATAATTAAGATTAATTAATATATAATTCATTATTGTTTGTTTGTTATCAACTTCAACAACAGCTAGTATAATGTCGCAATTTGAATTATTGCATTGTGATATTGTATAAATGATGACTGAAACAATTAACACTTAAAGCACTTGCAAAGACTATTTACAATAACTGATATTTACTTGTCATTAACAACACAAGCTGTTCATTAGCTGTTCTCCATTAGTATATCATTTGTATAATCATTATCAATTTTACATTTCTCACATAACTAATTTTATATGTTGTTACATTAAAGCTACATTTATTATGTGTTTAATGTAACAACATACAATAATATACTGTAAGGTCTCGTTTTATGCGGTGCATACGTTCTATAGAAAAGCGCATATAAAAAATTTGCATAAAAAAAAACTTTACTTGCCTTGAAAAAGTAGGGATACGTTCTGTAATTTTCTAAAATCGCATCAAACCAAAACAACGAGTTAAAATTAACTTAAAACCGCATAAAAAGTTTGCAGAAATTAAAAGAAATAGGCTGCTTAATAAATTACTTCGAATGTCTGAAAGAAATTCATATAAAAGCTTAAAATAAACTTGTATTCAAACTTAATTCAGTTTATTTTATTGAAAAGTAATACAAGGGGAATCCCCGAATTGCAAAAGCTCACTCTAAAAACAAATCACT